CCACCGCCACTAACAAAACAACTCACTGACTGCCCAAACAACCAATAAGTCACCCCATCAGTCCAAATTAGTACATAACTGACAGACGACCCTTCGACATTTAGATCTAATTTTCACCTCCCCTCAAAATAAGAATGTGAAAAAAAAATTGCCTTTGTCAAAAAAAGAAAGAAAAGGTATTAATACCTTAGTGAAATGGTAAGGCGAAAGAAATACTAAATTTAACGAAAATACAGAACAAGAATGGGGAGAATAAAAAAAAAAAAAAAAAAAAAAAACCATGGTTCAGCTGGGGGTCGAACCCAGGACCTCTCGCGTGTGAGGCGAGCGTGATAACCACTACACTACTGAACCCGTTGGAGATGGTGATTCAAAGTACGTAAATATACCTAAAGGGACTATTCTATTCCGGACAAACTGAAAAAATAATGCTCATCAACATAAAATGGAAAAAATATTTAGATCCAATGTAATTATTGTTTATTATAGATCTAGGTTAAGAAGGATAAAAAGATTTTTTAAAGAAGTATTACTGTTTGAGGGCATTTTTGCCGACAAGGGAAGCTACTCAGTGAAGCAATCAATTCTCTCCGTTCCGCTCTACTCTACTTTCGTTTTTACCATTGCTTGTCTGTGATCTCGAAGGCGTCTATTGACATTGACACTATTGTTACATATTTTAGAACACAAGTGACAATAGGTCTCGACTCGATTTACATATCTATTTTCTGCCACATCAGACGGAACATTCAAGCTACCCAAGCTTGCACTCTTTGTATGAAAAGATTTGTACTTGCAGGGTTTTAACCAGAATTTTGAAGTTGAAGAAGGCATGATGTCGAGTAAGTGTAACAATCGCTCTGGAACTGGACTGAAACTTTTTTTGAAATTTTAGATTCTTATTGTGTTTTGTTAGCCTTTTCGTATCTAGATTTCTAGATCTTGCTAGAATCATCTACTAGGAAAGGTTACTTAAGCTTGAAACTTCAAGGTTGTGTAAACGAAGCTGGCACTTCGACTTCAAGTGGCATCTATCTATCTCACTGGGAAATTGGCAGGAATTCTAAACGAGTGCCCTCTAGAATCTACATAGAATCTAGAATCTAGATCTAGATCTATAGCGTACAGTCCAACCTATGTAAGACGGCCATCCATTGTCAAGGAGAAAAAAAGTGTGTATATTGTAATAATGATCAGTTGCCGAGGGAAAAAAAAGGCTGTGAGTCGTGACGCGTTTGTATCTCTGCGACGTTCTACGCCCTGACTACTAGTGCTCCAAACCCTGACACGCACACACAACCACAGGCCACCCATCCGACCCCGACACACACCAATGTAGACACGTGCGCGTGCCAACAATGCATTAGTATGGAAAAAGACGGCTGATTGGTTGCCTGCAATCGGCTTAGTGAATAATGGTTCACAATGCAGATGCAATGGATGGTTTCCGGGAATAGTATAAAGTTCGCTCTGGGAGAAAAATGAGCGAAGCCAGGTCTGCTGGGGCTGTTCACCCTGGCAGCGACCTCGTTGAATCCGAGCTCGCTGATTTAAGTGCTCGTTGAATC